TTAGTGAAAGCTGTAGTTTATACTGTTTATTAGCACTTCTGTGTACTTGTGACTCATGTAAATGTTCGTACACAAAGTGCTGTCCAACAACTGTATGTGGACGTGTTGCTACAGTGTTTAGTGTGAGTAAATACCGCACAATGCGTTTTTTTCAACCGGTGTACCAATAGCTAGTTGTAAACAAACAACTGGCCGAGCGAGGTTTTCCGACTTGTAACTGGAACGCCGTCAACTCGGGTGTGACGTCATTGCCAGCACCGACCTCCGACTTCCAAGGAAAATGGAACGCAACATAAGTTTAGTTTGTGTCATCAGATATAAGTGGAGAAGAAGAGTGTGATTTGGCGGAGGCGATCTTTATCGGCCTCTGCTGGCGACCCGTAGGAGCTACACAGACATGCAGGATATGTCTGAAATCGTCTAGTCGAGACGAACAAAAAAGACCACCCACAGCCCTGTAGGATGTTCTGTTCTCAAGCTGTGGGCCTGTAAAGCATGGGAGTGCTTTTGTTCATATATATTGACTGTTTTTAGATAACTACCAATAAAAGTGAACATATAAACAGTAAATATGGCCAAAACATGGACATTCTTCTGGTATATTTTTGAAAGAATGTGTAATAAATGTTGTATATCAGTTTCTTTTCATCAAATTTACAGTTACAGTTGTATTCTAGATGTATTAGAAGATATTAAGGTGCATTATAATCTACTGTATGATGGTTTTGATGGTTTATTGCATTAAAATAAAGCTTTTTTTACCAGGTGAGCATGAAAATATATTTCTTTTTGTTATTCATATCCATGTAGTCTGTAATGGTAAAATAAATATGTTAATATACAATGGATTTATATTCCTTAGCTTCTGACCTTTCAAAGGAGACCAGAATTATGCATCTAGGCCTAATGGTTGAGGAGATATTACTGATTTACTGACCATGTAAAGTGCACATCACCAAGAGAGTCTCTGTACACTTTTCAAGTCAGTAAACAACAACAGAAAAAAAAAAACGACATTACATGTAAAAGTACACACACTCACACGCATCCACATGTGATAATGTTAATGTGACAACAAGGTTGAGGTTAGTAATTTTAAAAACAGAGATCTTATAATTGTAACAGGATTTGGGTAGCTACTTGTCTAGGAGGGGGAAAAAATAGTACGTTTGTTCCAGCCAGTGAAATTAGGCAAGATCGTAATGAACAGAAAAACCTTGCCTGCTGCCTTGCCTATTTTACGACGGTGAAAGAAGGCAGTTCAAGTTATACACTTGGTGTGTGCCTCAAATAGGATTGAATTACTTTTCCCAGATGTTTAACTGTATGGGTCAGAGAAATTGTGCAGCCATCCAAGTCAATGGAATGAGCTATGTTTATCTAGCTAGACCCACAAGCAATGTTTCATTCTTGTGTGAATTCAAATGCAGGAAATTATTGCACATCTAGTGATGGACTTCTAACAAGCACGTCTCTAATTATATCAGTCAGACGGTTACAGGAAGATATGTGTGTCATCAGCATAGCAGTGAATACATTATGTTGTGTTTTTTGAAACTGTGACCTAAGGGCAACACATAACAAGAGTGGAGTGAGTAGTGATCCCTGTGGAACACCATATTTGACCTTAGACCAGGAAGACATTGTATCATTATATGCAAAGCTTTGTGCTTTCTTACTCAGAACGGGACCAAGAAAGTGCCTGCCCCTTGAGACCAATAAGGTTGTCGTTGTTGGAGGAAGTCATAGGCAGTGTTTGGCAAGTTACTGCGAAATTGTAATAAATTACTAGTTACATATTACTCCTTAAAAAAGTAATATTATTTATTTATTTATAGTAATATTTTTTACTTTTTCTACTGAAAAGGCTCTTCTGTCTGTAACAGAAGCCCTAAGGTCAGCTAAACCTGCAGCCCAATCCTAGGTTCTTATCCTGCTTGACCTATCAGCTGCCTTTGACACAGTCAACCACAGGATCCTGCTATCCGTTCCTACAATGTTTTGTGGCAAGGACAATTATCCTCCTCCCACTGCCTCTCCACAGGGGTGCCCCAAGGCTCAGTGCTTGGGCCCCTTCTCTTCTCAATTTACACCACCTCACTGGGGCCGATCATTCGCTCGCACGGCTTCTCTTACCACTGCTACGCAGACGATACGCAACTCTACCTATCCTTCCCGCCAGGCGATCCCACCGTCTCGGCACGGATCACGGACTGTCTATCGGACATATCTGCATGGATGAAGGCTTGCCACCTTCAACTAAGCCTCTCTAAGACTGAATTCTTGGTCATTCCAGCCAAGCAATCTATCCACCATAACATCAAACTACAAATTGACTCCGCAACCATCACTCCAACCAAGGTGGTGAGAAACTTGGGTGTCATGATTGATGACCAGCTGTCCTTTTCAGACCATGTTGCTGCTGTCTCTCGGTCATGCCGCTTTGCTCTATACAACATAAGGAAAATCAGGCCCTACCTCACTCAGTGCGCCAGCTTCTGGTACAGGCCATGGTTATCTCTCGCATCGACTATTGCAATGCCCTCCTAGCAGGTCTTCCAGCTTGAAACCCTTACAAATGGTTCAGAATGCAGCAGCGCGTCTGGTTTTTGATCAGCCCAAAAGAACACATGTCACTCCATTACTCAATGACCTCCACTGGCTCCCCGTGGCCTCCAGAATCTTCCGAGAACACTTCCTCTTATAACACCTCTAACTCCTAACCTCTAACATCCACTTCCTGTGCTCTTCTTCTTCTGTCCCCTACAATTATCTTGTATTGATTGCACTTTTTTGTTTTGATTGCACTTTTTGTTAACTCTTACTTCCTTCCCTAGGTATTTACCCCACTGATGTGATATGTACTGTGAGCTCTTACTAGTATGTATTGTCAGTTGTAGATCTGTATTTGATGCTCTGTTGATGCTTGTATGTTGTTCCTCAAATGTAAGTCGCTTTGGATAAAAGTGCCAAATGAGTAAATGTAAATGTAAATGTATTAATTTACTTATTTACTGGGTGATAAAAGTAACTATTTACATTACTCATAACATTACTATATCACTTTCACTACCACCCCCTCCCCCCTAAAAAAGCTGTCTCTCCTAACTTCTCGACTTTTTAAATAATATTATATTCCTGGCTCGAGTCTCTGCAACAAACCGGCGCAGAAAACGCAGATTAGAAATTTATTAGAGAAATGGAAAAACATGTGGCAGTGTCACAGGATTACATTAGCAATACATTCAATTATAATATTTTCAAATATTCTGCACTCTGAGAGTTCATGTATTTGATGGATTTTTGACCCTTCTTTAAACATTAAACGGTTATTCAAGCAATTTAGTAATGCAACCAAATATCCAACATTTCCCATAATACAATTCAGACTTCAGAAAAGCTCCCTCCAGAGCCACAGATTTACAGTATAGCCACCGCGGGCTGTGTGTTTATCATCATAACCAATGAACTGAACTTCCTGTAGGGTGCCTTTGAACCTTTAACCAGGAATAGAATTACAACAAAGCCCAGCTGTGATGTGTTGAAGAAAACACGATAAAACTAAAAACCGTACACATTTACATTTTTACATCAGAATTACCAGTACATCTAAAATTACTGATGTGAACTGTTCAGCCTAGGAGGATGTTGTTTTTAAGGTTTAACTTCTTGAGCAAGTAGTCTTCTCCCACCAACAATATTTATGTTTAATACTGCTACAACAAAAAAAAAATTCTTCTTGATCAATTCAGGGTAGTACGAGGCACGTTTGTGACTTTCCTTTATCCTTCCTTACATCATCATTAGATGAGGTGTGTTTGTATAAGCATGTGTTTATTTGAATATGAGTCCATTTGTTTGTTGTCTATTTAGTTTTCATTTGATTAAGTAAAAGTAAGTAAGTTTTCAGGTAAAAAAACACTAAATCAGACAGCTACAACAACCCAGAAAGATACAAGTACAATGGTTTTGAAATGACCTGGTTAAAAGGTGGTTATGTAACAAACCAGTGTATGCGAGTGTGTGCAGGTGTTCGTGTGGTGTGTATGAAAATGTTTCTGTGTGGTGATTCTTTGTTAATTGATAACAGGTTGAAGTGGGTGGGTGAACTAACAAGGACCTCCTTGTTAGTTCAGAGAATTCACATTTATACAACGCATATTTACCAAGAAATACTTGTGTTTTTACATTCATGTGACTGACAGAGAAGTAAGTATTACGTTATTTACAGAGGATAATAAAAAAAGATTCTTAATGTTTGGAAAATGTCTCTGTGGTAATGAAGATGTATTCAGAAGTAGTCTGTCCATTCACCTCACAAAGCACGACACATGGTTTTCCCTACATGAAAGCACATTAGCCATTCTGTCTTTAGGTGGTATCAGCTCGAAACCAAATTTTGTGGGATTGTCCAGCCCAATAGTAATAACAGGAGAATGTATTTGATGCATATGTTTTTGGGGAAGTGTGGAGCTGCCTGCACGGGAGCTTTAATTCTGGTGTCTCTTTATTTTAATTAAATCAAGAGCACTCTGATCAAGAGTACTCTGCCGATTGAGCGTTGCACTTTGTTGGACTCAGTGCTATTACTACTATTACTGTTACTGCTACCACAACAGCTGATACTACTACTGATAATAATATAAATAAATAATAATCATTAGCTTTATGTTTATCAGTAACTATACTAATTAATGTGTTAAAATATGGCATTGTTGTGAAAGCTAATTATGTCTATGTGTATCTACCTGAACATATGTCCTTATATGGTTCTAATTTGGTGAGCTGGGAAATGAATGGGCATGGTAGTGTTGATAAGTGCGTGTATGTCTATTTGAATATGAGTCAATCCTGTTTTTTTCAGCTCATTTGCCTACGGGATTTCGTGTCTTCTTCAGTGATTGGGCAGAACACTGTGAAAGGGCCTGAAACATGCAAATGCAGGCAAATCTTTTAGGGGCCCTGGGGGTAAAAGCATCAAGGGCTTTTTGTTATCAGATGGAAAATCAGCTGTTGGACGATCACAGGAAAGTCTTATAGCCAGAATACCAGGTATGTAGTGTTTGATAACATATGAACTAACAGATTTTCAAAGGAAAAAGAAACTTAAGATGAAATCTTTTTAAAACAATTTCAATATTTGGTACTGTACAGAAAGAAATTGTTTTTAATGTTCCAAAAATTGAATGATGATTAAATGTTTTGCTTTTCTAGAAAAAGAAATACAAAGAACAAAAGTGTACAAGTGCCACTGAATCGGAGTGCATCTGAGCAACATGGAGTACACATTCAGAGCAGTAACTCACAGCCCCGGGATTATAATCTGGAGAATTGAGGTAATTTCATTTTACATTTGTTGCTGCAATTGTGATTGCGGTCAAATCAGCTGTTCAGTTTAATGGTAAAAAGATTAAAAATGTCACCACTCCAGGAGGAAATTACTTAAAGAGCTGTGATGATGTTAAAAAAATACTGTCTATTATATCTGACATCTTTAAAGTGGAAATAACAGCTGGACACCTTTTTCTCTCTGTGCAACAGAAAATGGAGCTGGTACAAGTCCCTGACAAATCTTATGGAAGCTTTTATGAGGGTGACTGCTACATACTTCTGTCTGTAAGTGTGGGGAGGTGACTAATGAATTATTGTAGTTTTAGATGCTTGTTTGTTTAGTAAAGTTTGTAGACTTTGCTCTTTGGATGTGTAGATGTGTTTTGAATATTTAAGCAGTGACAAAAGGCTTTTAGTATATCAGATAGCATCCCCATCTATTTTTGTTTTATTTAATCAGTTTAATTTAGCAGGGACAGTGCACATTAATAAACATAGATGCAAATGCGCCAGAGTTAACCAAAAGACTATTTTTCATCTGTAGTCCCTGGACAGTTATTACATAGTCAACCTATAAAACTTTAAAAAATTATTAAATTAACTTATTTAAATTGAACTCATACATTATGAAGGCATGCATTAAAATGAGATGGAAGAAACACAGACATTGTATTGAAATGCTTTTTCATGGACTTGATGTACTTCAAATACTATTTTAAAAAATGCAAATGAGTACATACATAGATACTGACTGACAGGTGCAAAGTACAAACATAGCAGAAAGCACAGTATACATTAGACTAACCCAGAAAAAAAAACTAAAAACATCTACACATAGTTTTCTCCACTCCTGTATTTCTCCAGACTCAGAAGGTGGGCAGCTCTCTGCGTTATAATATCCACTACTGGATCGGCTCCCAGTCCACTCAGGATGAACAGGGTGCAGCTGCTGTTTACACCATCCAGCTGGATGAATATTTGGGTTCCACTCCGGTCCAGCACCGCGAGGTTCAGAACTACGAGTCTAATGAATTTAGGGGTTACTTCAAACAAGGAATAATGTAAGTGAAAATGTTGGTACAGTAAACCCTCATTTATAGACAGTAACAGAAACCATACAAATCATTACCTTGTCTTGTTCAGCTTTAAGAAAGGTGGAGTTGCATCAGGCATGAAGCACATTGAAACCAACACCTATGACGTTAAGAGGCTGCTTCATGTCAAAGGGAAGAAAAGAGTGACTGCTAAGGAGGTGAGCCACGCTTCACAGTGGTTTTGTAACATTATGGGATAGCGCATGTCATGTAGAAAGAGCACTTTGTGTTTTAATTTGTTTCAGGTGGAGATGAGCTGGAAAAGCTTCAACCTTGGAGATGTGTTTTTGCTGGACATTGGCAAGACAATTATTCAGTGGAACGGACCCAAGAGCAACACACAGGAAAAGCTTAAAGTAAGATTTTTGTGACAGTTTGGGTGCTTGTGTATACTGTCGGAAGCAGAATTTGTATGGAAACATATAAACACACATGAGTAGAAAAACAGATAAAAGTTCTTTTTAAAAATACAGGAAATAGATAGGATGACAAAATCTTAAAAGTGAGTGCATTTGCAACTTTATTTCCAAGTGTAATAATAACATAAAAATAATTTCACCTTGTTTACTCTTTCAACTTCCCGATATAAAGATGTTTAATTATTCCATGAATTGAAATGTGTCATTGAAGTTGCTTTGGGTGCTTGAAGCAGGTTGTCCAGTTCTCAGGCTCTCAGGTTCCATTGTCAGTATTTTATCTGGATGTTCATGATGTACACTGAACAAAATTATAAATGGAACACTTTTGTTTTTGCCCCCATTCATCATGAGTTGAACTCAAAGATCTAAGACTTTCTCTATGTACACAAAAGGCCTATTTCTCTGAAGTATTGTTCACAAATCTGTCAAAATCTGTGTTAGTGAGCGCTTCTCCTTTGCCGAGATAATCCATCCACCTCACAGGTGTGGCATATCAAGATGCTGATCAGACAGCATGGGTATTGCCATGCTGTCTGATGAACAATGCCACAGAAGTCACAAGTTTTGAGGGAGCATGCAGTGGACATGCGGACTGCAGGAATGTCCACCAGAGCTGGTGCCCGTGAAATGAATGTTCATTTCTCCACTATAAGCCATCTCCCAAATTTGGGAGAATTTGTCAGTACAGCCAACCGGCCTCACAACTGCAGACCACGTGTAACCACACCATCCCAGGATCTCCACATCCAGCATCTTCACCTCCAAGATCGTCTGAGACCAGCCACCTGGACAGCTGCTGCAACAATCAGTTTGCATAACCAAAGAATTTCTGCACAAACTGTCAGGAACCATCTCAGGGAAGCGCATTTGCATGCTCGTCATCCTCATCGGGCTCTCGACCTGACTGCAACTTCGCACAGCCATTGAAGTGGAGTAGACCAACATTCCACAGGCCACAATCAACAATCTGATCAACTCTATGTGAAGGAGATGTGTTGCACTGCGTGAGGCAAATGGTGGTCACACCAGACACTGACTGGTTTCCAGATCCCCCCGGACCCCCCCAATACAGTGAAACTGCACATTTTCGAGTGGCCTTTTATTGTGGCCAGCCAAAGGCACACCTGTGCAATACCCATGCTGTCTGATCAGCATCGTGATATGCCACACCTGTCAGGTGGATGGATTATCTCTGCAAAGGAGAAGTGCTTACTAACACAGACTTATGAACAATATTTGAGAGAAATAGGCCTTTTGTGTACATAGAGAAAGTCTTAGATGAATGGGGAAAAAGTGTTTATAATTTTGTTCAGTGTATATACGTTTGAGGTGCAGACCCTAACACAATTATGACAGTAAGTTGGTGCTTTCTGTGCTGCCCTCACCAGATCTGAATATCATCATTAAGCCATTTATTGAAAGTTGAAGGAGTGCACAGTTGGAGGTCATTTCCTATTGAATCTCATTTAAATGTGTTATCTAGTGATTTATTATTGCACTTCTAAAAGTTGGCAGATATATTCTGATTTTTAGTCCCTATTATGGGTCAAGCTCCAAAAACCCTAGATTCTAAATTTCCCAAAATGCAAAATAACAGACTTTCCCTGCTTGGTAAAGGCCCATGTCTTTCAAAGCCCCAGTTTGTAACGAAACTCTCTGTTATACATTTGAAGTCTGGCACCCTAACTGAAGTAACTCTGATGCCATTATCGTTGTTATCAGAGCTGCATAAGAAATTACACAGCTGTTTTCATATGTCTGACTGGTACTCCATATGACGAGTAAACTGAACTGCATTTGTAAAATCTGTAAAATTCACCTTCAGTGTTTGCTTCTTTGTTCAGCTCTTACTGAATGCTTACGTGCATGAATTACGTGCATAATGAACACATTTTTGCTGAAAGAGTAAAAACTCAACATTTATCTTTGCTAAAATTAGTGTAGTGTACAGGGGTGATATTTCACATTTAAAATGGATTAAATGGATTTTTTGTTTTACATGTCTTTAATATCTGGTAGTAATTTTTAGTTTGAAGTCCGAGATTTCTGTATTGTGTAGTTTTGTCTGTGTTGTACTTCCGATTCTCAGGGCATGTTGCTGGCCAAAGACATCCGAGACAGAGAGAGAGGAGGTCGGGCTGAGATCAGAGTGATCGAGGGTGAAGCAGAGAGCAACTCTCCTCAGAACATGGAGATGTTGAACAGTGTTCTTGGAGAAAGAACCTCCAAGCTGACGGATGGACCTCCAGATGAAACTGCTGACCAGGAGCAGATGTCAAACCTTACACTTTACCAGTGAGTGGCTCCCTGACCGTGATATCCGGTGTTTCATGAAGTCAGTGGATTTGTCCATGTCCAGTTAAAGTGTTGTCTGTTTCTTCTCATTTTGTGTACCTGGATTTCAGCGTGTCAGATGCTGATGGTGAGATGAAGGTCACAGAAGTTGCTACCAAACCACTGGTTCAGGATCTCCTCAACCATGAGGTGAATTGGTCCAATATAAAGGTTACATACACTATATATTATGACCACATCAAGCTGGGTGCCGATGCAACCATAAAACTTCATATGGTTGTCCATCTAGTCTGTTTCCCCATTCCTGTACTGCTAAAGGTTTTAGACACTACAGTTTGAACTCAAACCACTCAAGTAGGTTAAGAGGAAATTGTTTCTTTACTAAATATAGTGATTCACTTTTTAGGACTGCTACATCCTGGATCAGGGAGGGATGAAGCTCTTTGTGTGGAAGGGGAAGAAAGCAAACAAAGCTGAAAGACAGGCTGCCATGAGCAGAGCTTTGGTGAGCGACTCTGCATTAGACCCTCACATGTGTCAGCTTGTGTTTGATTGCTCTTCCATGCCATACTAACACTCATTTGCCAGTTTATTAGGCACATCTAGCTAAAACTATCTGATACAACAACCCCTAATAAATCCTGAAAGTGTTTTAAAGAGATGTTGATTCAACTTAATGATCATTTTGGAGGATGTAGTTTGTGGTGCTCTTGAACTGTACCTGAAACTATGCTCAGTGATATAAAATGGGGGAGGACAAAAATAGCACTTGTCAGTGTAAGGCAGTAAAATCCAACCTAGGATTTATTGCAGGATTGTTGTACTAGACAGTATTAGTTTCAGCTAGCTGTATCCAATAAACTGGCAACTGGTTATTTCCATTGTTTTTTTTTCTGACTGACCATCATAGGAGTTCATCAAAGTGAAAAACTACCCGATCACTACAAATGTGGTAACAGTGAATGACGGGGCAGAGCCGGCTCTCTTCAAGCAGCTGTTCCAGAGGTGGACTGTAAAGGACCAGACTCAAGGTCTGGGCAAAGTGAACACAAGAGGGAAAGTTGGTATGTGTGTTCTTTAACGAGCACAGTCTAAAATTATATATTGTTAAAAAAACGAATTTTTATTCTAAAAAACCCTTGAATCTCTGTTGTCGATTAATCATTTTGTTTTGTGACCATGTTCTGTTTTAGCTCACATCACACAGGAAAAATTTGATGCCTCTCTGATGCACGTGATGCCAGAGGTCGCTGCACAGGAGCGAATGGTGGACAATGGCACAGGTCAAGTGGAGGTAACTGTGACAATTTAATCTGAATTTACTTTGAGGAGGATCCCTCTGTCATCTACTGTTTCAAGAGGTCAGGAAACTAATGACTGAATACTGTCAGCTTCAGCTTGAGATCAATGCTAACACAGTGTGCTAATATCCTAATGTCAGTGTGCTATTATGTTTAATGTAAGAAGGTTATACTAACATGTTATATGCGATTATGCTATACTGCAACATAGGCCTACTAAATATGCTAGTTTTAGCATGCTAACATACTATATGTCAAACATCCAGTAGGGAAATGCCTGTCAACATGCTATTTGTAGATTGTTAACATGCTGAGGCTAACATGAAAATAACAAACTGAGCTGGATTTCCAACGAGGCAAAATGTGCAGCCCCTGAGACCAGACCCTTAGGGGCCCATGTGGAAATTGCTATGTGGTAATCTGATTCATTACAACATTGTTTGACCACTCAAAAAATGCATTTTTTACAGACATTTTCACTTGTCATGTTTTTAACAGCATTTGACACTGGTAGCACCATATTCAAGCAGTTGTAGTAATTGACGTGTGTGTGTGCTAGGGAAAAAAAAGTATTTGTGAGAAAATATTCTACAAGTGTGCAACTCTCATTGCATGAATTGACACACTAATTTGTGGATGTGAACATTTTGTCCATGACTTCACATTTTTTGTTACAGTTGTGTGAATGTGTTTTGCACCAATAATACCTTCATTCTTAAACCCTCTAACATTTTCTTCTAATGTGTAATGAGCATTACAGCCTCACAGGGCTGCTGGCGTACCTACAGACTTAAAATGCAACTCTGAAACACAAAGGGGATATGAAATGGTACTCGTGCTCTGCCCTCTGATTTGTTGAAACATCCAGCACTTCAGGCCCCATCAGTTTGCTGCCATTTGTGATTCCATGTTTAATTACCTGCTTGATGTGCCCAGGTGTGGCGAATTGAGAATCTGGAGCTTGTGCCTGTGGACCCTAAATGGTACGGATACTTCTATGGAGGAGACTGCTACCTGATCCTCTACACTTACTTGGTTAACAACAAGAAGTGTTACTTGCTTTATATATGGCAGGTGAGGATTTGCTGTAACAGCCAGTGTCTTACGTAATAATGTAATAGAAAGTTGATTACAAAAAAGTCTGCCCTTGGATGTCCTTACTTTACTTTACTACTTTACCACTTGTTATTTCAGGGGCGTCATGCGACACAGGATGAACTGGCAGCCTCAGCATTTCAGGCTGTGAACTTGGATCAGAAGTACGGTGATGAGCCAGTTCAAGTGAGATTAACAATGGGCAAAGAAACAAGACACTTCATGGCGATTTTCAAGGGGAAAATGGTCATATTTGAGGTACGACTGCATTTATAATCCTTTCTTAGGAAACATTCTGCTTTTTTATTTTTACTACAGGCTTATCTGCAAAATGATATTATTATCTGTTCAAGTTTTTTTGGCAGGTTTATACAGTTCAGACTATTCCTATTTTTTCTGTTAGGGGGGCACATCTAGAAAAGGGTCTTCTGACCCAGAGCCACCAATAAGGTTGTTCCAGGTCCACGGTACTGACACATCCAACACTAAAGCCATAGAGGTTCCAGCCCTGGCCGCCTCTCTCAACTCCAATGATGTGTTTTTACTAAAGAGCCAAACAGGAATATATCTGTGGTGTGGAAAGGTAAGGAAGATGGTGTTTAAATCAGATAGAGAAACTGAACTGAAACAGCAGGATGGGAATACAATACAGTATGATACTTATCATAGCATTTTTGTGGTAGGCCTACTTCATGTATTTATGTTAAAGGGGCTATATGTAAGTTTTTGATTTTAATAAATCAAATTGTCATTGCCTTATTGTGAATGGGCTCAAAACTCACTTAGAAATGAAGCACACGCCTGTTTTCTCTGTTGCTTGCATCAGCCACTATTCTGCTTTTAATGTGAGGTCTCCGGGTCGGATTCAGCCCTGTGAGCCTCTCTCATACTACAGCGACAACACAGCAGCTAACGACATGCAGTCCTACGTTAGTCTTCGTTAGCTCGGACCTGCTGCTGTTTGCTTTGTAACGTTCAGTTTAGATTTATTGCCTTTTACCAATACTCAGGTAAACAACTTCTGCACCTCTCAGTCGCTGTAACTAACATGACCCACATACTATACAACACAGAAGAAGAGCCATCCACTGACACCACAGTAAATGTACTTACTGCGGTCTTATTATTATCAAGCGTGACACAATCTTGTCATAATATTCAGCCCAGCTCACTACCCGTTTCGTTATCATCCAATACATTTAGCTGTGCTGACACTGCTGAGCCTCCGGTGAAAGATACACAGATAATAAAGATAGTTACTGAAAGCAGCAGGCGAGCTAACGAGGTAGCACGTCGGCTAAATGCAGTAAATGTAACGTGATCATGTAACGAGCATGGATTAGTTCAACCTGCAGCTGATAAAACTATTACTGTAACGTTGCAGTACGGGTTTACCTGAGTTTAAAGCATCTTGTGTGAAGCAGTCTCCCTGCCAGCCTATAGCCACTGTCACCTTTTTTCCGGGAGGATTGTGCCGATATGCAGCTCGCTGCGCTGAATGAAGAAACGTTACGGAGCCGGTGTTGATCTGCCTCTGAGACGGGGACGTTGAAGTAACAGAGCCTGAAAATGTCTGAGTGAAAAGCCACAGCCTGCATGCTGGTGTTTCTGCGTTTATTGCAGGATTTCTGTATGAAAGTGGTTGTGTTTTGGATTATGCTCGCTCATGAGTTCAAGCGAGCACACGTACGAGCACACGCCTGGTTGCAATCTTAGAACCGCACCACTAGTGGCCGCTGGAAACTCCATAATGCCCCTTTAACATCTGTGTATTTGCAGTGGCATAAAGGTAAAAAAGATAGATAAATATACTATATAGCCAAAAGTATGTAGAAACCCACATCCAGAAACTTTCGTATAGTTTTGTGGTGGACTGTTTTTGTTATAGTCTGGATTAAGTCTCTCAGTTCCAAATAACTTCAACTGTAATGCTACAGAGTACAATGCTAGCTTGGACAACAGTGTGCCTCCAACGTTGTGACAACACTTTACAGAGGTCCATCAACATATGGCCCTTGTGCACAAAGCCAGGTCCATAAAGAAATGGGCTTCTCAGTTTGGTGTTGGAAAACTGCCCCAGAGAGAGCCCTGATCTCTGCTGTGCCTGAATGAGAGCCTGCAGCCAGGTTAAAAAATAAATAAGTCCTCCCAAAAGAATGGAGGCTGTCATATTAATAACCATGTTTTTAATTAGATTAAATTAAATTAATTATTATCTACAATCATATATAGGGTGTAGTGTGTGGGTGTCCATATACTTTTAGCCATATAATGTAGTTTGTCAAAGTACAAAGGCAGCAAGGACTTGGTTCAGGCCTGTCTGGCTCACTCTTGAGTGAATCTCTGCCAGCTGCTGAACAAAATAGTCCTTTCAAGCATCACTAATTACTAAAAATAGTCACAAAACAGTTGACGCTTTGGATCCAGATCATCTTTGATCAAATAAGATCATAATGTCAAACTTTCCATGACAGTGTACTGTAGCTCATAGTGATCAAAATATTAAAAGGGCGACCTTTTGTCACCAGGGATCAAGCGGAGATGAGAGAGCCATGGCAAAGGATATCAGCTCTGTGATTGGCCAGAACTCCCAGAAAGACTCTGAGCAGATTGTGGCGGAGGGTCAAGAGTCCATTGAATTCTGGGAGTTGCTTGGAGGGAAAGCTCCCTATGCCAGTGAGAAGAGGTAATGATGACAATATTTGCAAATGAGAGAAGGCAACACATTTGTTTTCCACTATTTTGCACATCGTATGTTGTAACGGTCAAATGGACACTTTCTTTATGTGAAGAAAACATTTTATCATTTTGTTGCTGCTGTTTACATTCTCCCCCGATGCAAATTTAAAAAATGCACTGTGGAATGTTCTGGGTCTGTAGGCCTATATAAATAACTGTAATATATATTGTTTTATTATATTTATTACCATACATACATTATATCGTCTGTTAAGTTCTGTTTGTGCAGCATGAAGGGACTAAAAACTTTATTTATCATTATACAACCTTGTGTTGTATAATGATAAATAAGCTCCCTTGTACCTTGTTGACTACAGATTACAGCAGACAGGTTCAGAATACCAGGCGCGCCTGTTTGAATGCTCCAATAAGACGGGCCGTTTCATTGTGAGCGAGGTGACTCAGTTCACGCAGGAAGACCTCAACGAGGATGATGTCATGCTCCTGGACACATGGGACCAGGTATGAGGCTATTGTTTTTAGGGTCAGTGGTAGAAACACATTAGAAACATCAGAAAGTTTCAAAGCTGAATGTGACACATCACCAATATCCCCAGAGTGTTTGTGAGGGCTTTTTTTTTGTTACTGAGAGAAATCTGAAATCAGTTCAATCCCATTCTGCCTTTTCTTATTGTTGATCTCAGGTGTTTCTCTGGATCGGCAAAGGGGCCAATGAGGTGGAGCGCAAAGAAGCAATGGTCACGAGCCAAGAGTACCTGCGCACCCACCCGGGTACCAGAGACCCCGACACCCCTATCATCTTGATCAAGCAAGGATTTGAGCCGCCCACCTTCACTGGGTGGTTCACAGCCTGGGACCCCTCCAAATGGAGTGTGAGTGTTTTGGTTTTCAAACAGAGAATCAGCTTGTACACTGATGAGTAAAAAAACACATGCTGACAAACATTTCTTTCTTTTAGGGAGGAAAGACCTACGAGGAGTTGAAGAAGGAGCTGGGAAATGTAGCATCACCTATTCGTGTTACAACTGTATGTAAAGCCGTGTTCATTCTTCAAGCTGTTTAGGCAACAGAAACGATTGTTTGTCTGATACACTGGTTATTTCGACCTTTTAATGCACACGTTACATTTAAGATAAAGTTTGTATGTTAGGTAGAGGTCGTGTTACTGTTATATTTCACACAGACAGGGACATTCAGAAATTACTTTAGGGCTACAAGACTGCAAGTCTTACTTCATTAACAGCATTGCCAAGCTAGCAATTCCTTCTTTAGAATAGCTACTGAATGTAGTTATTTTAATATCACAGTGCACCACTCACAGCAAGAAGGTCGTGGGTTCAAACACAGGTCGTGGCCCACGAGTTGGCCCATGAGTTTGCATGGGTTCTCTCCGGGTGCTCTGGCTTCCTCCCACCATCCAAAGACATGCAGGTTAGCTGAAATTGCCCTTAGGCATGGATGTGGTTGTGTGGCCCTGCGATGGACTGGCGACCTGTCCAGGGGTTCCCCCTGCCATTTGCCCAAAGTCAGCTGGGATTGGCTCCAGCGACCCTGTACGCAGGATAAGCGGTTGATGATGGATGGATAACTCTTTTAACTCTCTCTTTTCAGCCATTTTTATTGTGATAGTGAGCATGTAGAGGTTTAATTCAATTTTATTTAAATAGCACCAATTCATAACAGAAGTTATCTAATTGCACTTTTCATATAGAGCATGTCGAGACTGTACTCTTTGTAACATTACTTACAGAGACCCAACAATTCCCATCATGAGCAAGCACTTGGTGACTCGGGGTGGGCGGCAATCTGCCTCGACCGGTGACGATTATTTGGAACTGAATATAAAACAAGTTATCTCAAAAACTCAGGGACAGGAGTCTTTAAGCATTAATACAGCTCTCTCTCTATCTATCTACCCTCCTCTTATCAAACATTTATGCCTATTCAATGCCACAACAGTAAGTGATATATTAATGAAGAACATTAATGTGACTTTCTAGGAGCAGAAGAGTGTTGAAAGTGAGAAAATCTTTCAGTGTTTTCCACATGACAAGTTGGTCAACAAGCTTGCCAGCGAGCTGCCTGAAGGTGTTGACCCGACCCAAAAAGAGGTAGGGGAGTAGGTGTGTGAAGTGTGTGAGCAAGCCACCATGTTTGTAGTTTGTTTGTATCCTCTGCATCTCCCAACCAGAAATTCAACAATCAAACAATAAAAGTAAGCAATTGCCTCCGAATCACATTCAATTGTCCAGATAGGAAATGATTCATTTTGTTGTTTTAAGGCTTTAGTTGTTATGGAAAAGATCAATTTCTTTTAAAGAGAAGCTCAATTTAAAACCAAGAAAAGATTAATTAATTATTCATGTGTTAAATTGTAAGCTGTCTGTAAACAAGTTTTACATTTGTGTATATTTATTCTATTTTCTCTATGGTTACAATGAAATTACATAGTTCTGTCTATGAAACTTAATATGAAATTATTAGGAAATTGACGGGCCCAAAAAACAAAGCTTTATTATTAATTTCTCTCCTCAAGTCTTGAAGTTAGTATTATTATTTACCCTATTTGATCCCTGATTTGTTCCCATCATTGTCAACATTTTGTGTAATTTGTTCTAAGGTGTAACCATGATGCTTTGCTGCTACATAGTATCTGTGATAGATTTTTGCAGAGCACGCACGTGATTCACCGTTCAAGCAAAAGCAAACAGCAATGCGAGTAATTTGTTGTCACTTGTTTTCAGAAATACCTCTCTGACTCTGACTTCATCGCCGTATTTGGGATCACCAAAGATGACTTTGCACGCCTGCCTGGGTGGAAACAACTGAACATGAAGAAAATAAAGGGGATGTTTTGATCATATTGTTTCTGTGTTTGAAATACGCTATTACTGTTAAAAGACAACAGGAGGACTGTCTTTGAGTCAGCACACCCCCCCTCCCCTACAACTACTGACTTTCCACTTGAGCTCAGTCTCCTTGTTAACCTATTTGAGGACAGGATTTTGGAGTAAATCTTAATGTGTCTTTTCATCCTCTGGTTTTATTGTGATTCATACATTTGTTTTAACTCACTGTAATACAAGTCTTTACTTTTTTAACCTGTGCTCAGTTGACACTGTTTATTTAAGAGATCTTGTGATAATATAATTTGAACCCTTGGTATGAAAAAATATAAAATGTATTGCTTATTCTGCTGTGTTCACGTGGCATGACTTACATCACCAACGCAGTTTACTCCATACTGAGACATCACATTAACCCTATGAGCATACAAAAATGTGAACACCTCTCATAATAATAATGTATGTCTGTCTCTATATTTTAGCTGTCGTGTAACTTTTGGTATATGTATGCTAAATAGATGGTTAGATGGTAACTTTATTAATACTACTATACTTTATACTGTTGTATGGATGTATGGTTATATGTTATATGTTTTATGATGTTATGTTTTAATGGAGCCAGTGCTATGGCATTATGTTTTATTGTTGTATATCAATTGCTGTGTGACTTAATGTGTTTTATTATTTTTGTTTCTTTTAAGCTATTATGTGCCTAGTATAACATCTTGCCAATGGACTACAGTTGAAAATTAGCCTGCTGGCTAACACTGGCACATTTACAGAAATGTTGATTAATGTGCACTGTCCTTAAATAAATAAATGAAATGAAAATGAAATGAAGAATTTCAGTCCTGATGAAAGTAAATTATACACTATTTAAAAAGAATAAATTGGTAAAATACATGTGCTTTATCAAACTCAGCACCACAGCAAACATTTATGTAACTTTTAGTAACTGAGCTCACTCATGAACACTGAACCAAATGTAAGGGAGCTGTGATTTCCCCTTTAGATAAAGGTCTACTTTGCAATCTGTTGGACAAATAACGTCACATGTCAGGCCAGTTTTAAAGTGAATGCTCTTACCTGCAGGAACACAAAGACTGCCGAATAGAGTGCAGCGCTATTTCTGGTGGCATTTCACAGGAGCAGAACCTATCATCTTGAAAGTTTATATCACTAAGTTACATGGCAGTTAAACACATTCTGAACCACCAAAATTGCTCTGATTTCTAGCAACACAACTATCCAAATGTCTGCATTTAATTTTTAAAAAAAGCAAGCTATGGCATTCATCTACTCATAATAACTTCATAAAACCAAGATGTTAGCTAAACTGATCCTTCAGATTCTTTAAACATCTTTAAAACACAATTTAGAAGGGATCTCCCCCCCCACACACACACACACACTGACATCCCTGTGTAGCTTAAAGTCAGATCTTTTGTTTTAAATGTCAGAACACAGTAAAGTAGCTTATGATGGTGATTTATCATGTCATTATTTCAAATATAAGTCAAAACAAAGCATCAGCATCATTGACTCCTTTTATTTTCATATGTCTGGAATGTACTTTTGAGTTACGGTCATTCACTGTTACATCTGAACATTTTATACAAAGATCAGGACAAGTAATATCTAGAACTAGAAAATGCATCAAAATACAGTAAGATCATATTTTGTTTGTATTGTTGTGTTAAAATTTAAACAAAAACAAACTCACTGCTGTGAACTCAAAATGCTGAACTGAACCAGTGATATTGACAGATGAGGAAGTTAAATATTTTAAGTCAGAGTTCATTACAGCAAACCAAATGGTTTAAACTGACAGGAAATGAATAGTAGAATAAAATGAATTGTTGATGACAACATAAACCACCAATGATTGTGAATGTTTCTGTAAGAATATCTGAACAGCGTTGGTTGCAAATGGCCTGACTGTTCAAAAACGGACCACAGTGCCACCACACAGCGTTACAGGAGTAGTACTACAGTAGCAGCACCACAGTAACGGTACTACAGCAGCAGCACCACAGTAACAGTACTACAGCGGCAACAGTACAGCAGCAGTACTACAGTAACAGCACATGCACTACAGTAACACTACTATAGTAGCAGTACTACAGCGGCAGCACTACAGTAACAGCACTTGTCAATGACATGTCATCTTAACAGCTGCGTCGCCGATGCTTTGTGCATCATGGCAGACAGCACAACAGACAATCAAAGTGTTTGAACCAGCATTATTTTGAAATAGGCCTGTGTGATAAAAAGCAATGCAAAAGACAAACGAGTCAATACAAACATCAATATACGACCAAAATGACATGCAGCTAAATGCAGACTGCAAATGTTCCATTTCTAATTTCCATGAATGTATTTATATTGTTCTGCTTTTGTTTTCTTTGACAGAATCAGTTCTCCAAACTGCAATTTTTATTAAAAAAAAGTTAGTGTTTATCAAAACTGAGCTTATCTGTTAATTTGACTAAAGACCCACCTTAAAAACCAGGGAATGACAGCGATACATTATTTGTAAACAAAATTTAAAATCCCTTCAAAACACCAATTTCGCAGTAAATCTGTTTACAATTACACTGTTATTTAATACAGGTGTGAAAAGTACTGCGTGCAAAAGTACTAATAAACTGGCACAGATCCATGTGCAATTTGTAAATCATTAAAATCAATATACATTCTTGGGTACTCATGCAAAGTATTGATCTCAAATGATGAGAAAGGGTCTTCTATTCTTGCAAGCATAAAGAAATGTTACATTGTATAAAATTTAAATAAAAAAGCGATTAAATACAAACGTGTACAGCAGAGACATCCGAAAGAGACTAATTTCAGCAAATTCCACTTCCAAAGTGCAAACATACAGTATTACCATGCAGAGAGAATACAGCCTGCAGCAGGTCAGCTGATTACTCCTCGCTGACATGTTTGTTTATAAAGGGAATGTTGTTTCTAATGTAATCTTATACCACAATACAAGAACTTTAAAAAGTGCAAATGCAGCTAATTCAGTTTCCCTTAATTCAAAATAAAAACAGGACAAAGGGCCATATATGAAAGATAAAAAAATAAATGTTCTGGTTGAGATCAGCAAAGCAGTAAATAAGATGGCATTTTCCCTTACTTAAAAAACCTGTCTCTTAAAACCTTATTAACCTGTCCTGCAGTTATGACTGGAGCCAAATCAGCAACAGTCCCGTTCCACATTCTTACAGAGCTCACTGCGTTTTCAAACAGGTAAATCCTGACTTGTGTCCCGCCAGCTGTTAGTATATAAAGAGGTTACCAAAGAAGTAAACGGTCAAAGCAGCATGGAGTATTTCCAATGTTTATCCATGTATTTTTTTTTTTTTTTAAAGTTAAGACAGAAAAGAAATTATTGGCAAATAACAGTAGTCCTTAGTGGAATTTCAGCTAGTAAACTGCCTGGATCCCGAGTTCCTTCGTCTTACAACTTGGGCTGCACCTAACCATTATTTTTATTTTCAATTAAGCTGCAGATTCTTTTAGTTATAAAAAGGTTGTTTTAAAAATGACTATCATAATTTCCCAGAGCCCAAAGTGACGTCTTCAAACAACTCATTCAGTTCCACCTGCAGTCTGAATCCCAAAGAAATCGTCAGATATCACACTGGAGAAGCTGAAACCAGCAAATGTTTGGCATTGTCACTTGAAAAATGACAGAAACGATTAACTGATTGTCAAAATAATTGCAGATTAATCGATTAATTGACTACTCATTGGAGCTCTAATTACAACTCTAAATGTGATTGTTGGCCTCAATGTTTCCAAAGACATAAACATCAGATGTGAGTAAACTGCAAATCGAAGAGCTCTTGAATTACACCAGCTGACCAATAATAACCTTCAACCTTTTGCCCCGTAGTAGGTCAACCAGATTAGTTAAGACATGACACAGACGTCTGGGTTTTTGGGGTCTTGGGTCTCGCTGTCATTGGCCTGGCAGTTGTTAAGCTTCTCTTTATTCTCTGAATCATGAGGCAGCTCCAAAGTGTCTGCTTCACCCGGGAACATCCTGTCCTGCTCTGGAGTCTCAGCAGACGCATCCTCGTAGGCACTTATGCTGTCTGAGTCCTTCCCGTCCGAAGAAGGGTGGAGTCCATCGAAGACCTCAACGCTGTTTTCGTAAGGCCTCCGCAGGACCCCGTCTTCAGAGACTGGGTTGTCCAGTGCAAGAGAGGGCAAATGGCTCGGGGACTTACCGACCATCTTCCGCAGCTTTGTCAGGAAGCTTCCTTCATCTTCTAACTTTTCACTCTGTCCGTCTTCCTCTGATGCTCTGCTCTGGCTGCTGTGAGCTTCACACAGCGACGAGTCTTTTTCTTCTCTGTGTGCGGTTTTCATCGATGCCTTGGCGTTGTTTTTCATTTCTTGTCTTGTGACCTCATCCACATGTCCATGTGTGTTCGCTGGAACATGCGGTTCATTATTCCTTTCCTGTAAAGAGAAAATCATGTGTCCTTTCAGATTAAAACTACATATAGTTGCGTTTTAAACTTATTTTGTTATTATTGTTTAAGTTTGCCTGTCAATTCAATGCCATCTCTAACAAAATGAAAGCAAAGAAAGAAGACATCCATGAAAATTTGAATTTTATAAGCATCTGAATGCTCTGAACAACTTTCATTAACATTAACTTCTGAGTACTTAAACGTCACAGAGTTTGTGATGTTGAAATAATTATTTAGTTTGAATTCCCTCATTGAAACTTTCAGAAGGTCAGATAAAAGTTTTAAACGTATATTTTATTTTAGTCAAATAAAAAGGTTAATCAAAAGGGTTTCCAGCTACTCATCCGAACCTTTCTTTCTTGGTAACCTGACAGAACAAGAACGGATTATCTTTAGAAGTTTGAGCTTTTCACCTCAAATTTTACAATGTCACCAATTCAAATTGATGTAATTTTTTATGATTTAAATTAAAATGATTAGCTGATTTTGAGCAACCTGAATATGGTTTCTCTTTTTAATGTTGGACGTTTGATTTTTGAAATATGAATTTGTGAGCTCTGAAAAAGACAATAGGCTGAACATCAAACATTCACATTCGATAAGAAGTGATCACGTTCCTGACATAAATAAGTTCAATAAGACTTTACATCGTTATGCATTAATTCAAAAACCTTGTTCCTCTCTAATGCTGTCATGTTCTCCTTTTAATTGTCACAGTACCTCTTTTAATCTCTCCACCTCTTGCATCAGAGAGGAGACCATGCTCTCCAGTTTCCTCTTGTTCTCCCTCTCTTGTTCCAGCTCCTACAAATGCAGCGGCACAATGAGATGACCAGAAGCTTGTTAGTCGCTTACTTTGTTACAACGAGTAACAAAAACAAACTTCTCATTAGAAGAAGGATGAATACTAAACAAGGTCTACATATATTTGTGGCCTCAACGTACTAAATTAGCCTGTCCAGCTTCCCTCTGGGCCTCAGCCAGCAGCTCCTCTACACCCTCCAGCGTGTCCTGCAGAACGTCCACCTGGAACAACAGAGCCTCTCGCTCGACCTCCAGCCCACGCAGCTCCTGCACCACCTCGTCATAGCTGGCCTGCAGCTCCAGCTAAACCACAAGCACAATTACAAATCAGTGTGGGCAACATTAGAAAGAAACGCATGCCAGTCAGTGGGCGGGCAACTGTTTAGCAAGCTCTCAGAGGCATCAGTGGGAGGCCTCTTCTGGAAGCATGAAAATCCCTCCGTATGTAAAGGAATATGTATCACTGCAGTGATCTATACTACCGGACAGGACAGTGAATAAGACATTAAATAGTAAAACCTCGTCATAATTGTAACACCAGTAAGAAATACTCACCATTTCTGGGAGTCCCATGAAGAGTTCCTGCTCAGACTGCTAAAAGGGGGGGGGGGGGGGGGGGGGAATTAAAAAACAGTTTGTAAATAATACTTTTAGTCTTTTTAATATAGTTACATCAAGTTACATCAAGATAAACATGCTCTAAAAGGCCGACTATAATGCATGGGCTGTGGTTCACCTGATATCGCAGCTATCTGACACTATCTATATACTGTACTATGGTGGCACCATGTTTGATAACAGCTCTCAGAACACATTATGTGATTAAGTGTGACAAAAACGTTTGCAGTGGCATTAAAGCTCACCTTCCTAATCAGGTCACAAACATGATGGGTCACAGAATTTGGTGCAACTTTTTTGGCTTATGAAGATGGATTTGAGTCAGACCCATTGCCTTTCCACAGTAGTGGTAAACAGAACAGTGCCAGACAGAGAGGTACTGTTATATTTTCAAAAATCAATTTAAGCTTTTGACCAAACACCCTGACAGGAACGCAGTTTGTCCCAACAAGATCACTGAATGCAAGTTTAGATTTTCTACAAATAAATGTCTGTTGCCAAGCTATATATCAGGACCTCATTCAAGTGCCTCTTAAGTGCAGTTGTGGGGGTTCGTTCAGATCCTTTACTTAGGCATAAGTACCATTACAAGCATTTAAAATATGCTAGGTGGTGATGGCGCAATGGATAAGACACATGCCTTTGGTGTGAGAGACCCGGGTTCAATTCCCTACTGTGATACAACCACCAATGTGTCCCCGAGTTGCTCCAGTAGCTCCAGAGGCGTGCGAACTCTGACATATACAGCAATTGTAAGTCGCTTTGAATAAAAGTGTCAGCTAAATGAATAAATGTACTATAAATAAGTGTTCTTCATCCCCATGTAACTGAAAAAGTAGCAGATGACATTTTAGAGTCAATACTGTTGCAGCAATATGCGAGTAGCATTTTACTATTGTAGCTGGTTGACATGGAGCTGTTAACTTGTTTAGACCAGTGGTAGAGGTGCCTCCAATAGGGCCACAAGGTAAATCTGAGAGACCATAAAATGATTAATGAAGTAGAAGAGAAGAAATAAAGTTCTGGTATTACAGAAAGTTCCTGTCTTAAGTTAAGGTAGGATTTTTACCAGTTTGGTATTACAGAAGCAAATCCTAACTAACTTTAGGAATACTATCTTATCTTAATTCATCTTATCTTATCTCAGGTTAGGAAATTTTAAATACTCAATCCAACATCAATTATCAACTTTTATGTCTTACCTAGCAACTGATGCCACTTTTCTCATCTCGCCAAGCTAAATGTCTTTTAATCGCTGTTTTTTGGTAGCTTCTTAAATGAAACATACACTGAAAATGGAGCAGAAACAACTACTATCATTGGACTTCAAGTCAGATGACTTAAGAGGTGTTGGTAACCTCCGTTGAGAAATCCAAATTCACGTAACGCTTATTTTGGGAGGTTAAACAGAGAGAGTGGGCTAAAATAGCGGACTCAGTCACCACCGCATAGGCTATCTGGCAGCCAGCGGAGCACTGATGCTGTCAAAAAGAAAACAAGTCTATTTACAAGTGATACGAAGAGAAAGGCAACTGTTGTGAGCATAGGAAAACTGGTGGTGACTCCTCCTGTGCTCCCTCACTGACCCCAGCAGGAACCTGTCTTCTCAGGAAAGTTAATAATGAAGGTAAAAAAATAAATAAATAAATAAAAGCTGCGGGCCAACGTCATCATGTTTTCATGTATTTCTTGAATTTAACAATTTCCTTCTATCAAAGACTTGCATTTGGATATTTTTTGTACATTATGTCTCTACATTTTGTTATATAACGATACATTATCCAGTGTTACATCGCCATCGGTAGATCAATTAATAAGTACCGCCTGTTGACATTTTGTTGATTTTGTAAAAGCAATAAACGAGCAGCCATGTGGATTAAACAAGTTAGCAAACACTACCTGGTGGAAAAGTACAGTTAGGACAGCTTAACAGTTACCCTAAAGTTAGGAGAGCTTAAGATTTCACGAAGTTAGGATACTTCTGTAATACACTTTTCCTATCTTAAGTTAGGAAAGGAACACTGACTTAGGTACTGTTAATCTGTAATGGCCTTTTACCTAAATCAGTTGCTAACCCTTATTACCATGGTTACCAAGCAGTTAGGATAGGATCTGCCCATTAGGAAGTTTCTGTATTATGGCCCCTGCTACACAAATGTGTGTATATATTTATAAATAGATATAAATATAGATATACCTGCCTGAAACCTACCTGACAGGAAATCACTCTTTGGTTAACTTGCCAACAACTCAGACATCAAAGTCTCAACTAGACACTGCTTTTTTGAAACTGGACGATGCATTGTATTTTATAAGATTATCACATGTTTCTTCATGTAAAACCTTAATCTGTGTATTGCTCTCACATAAAAGTATAACTACATTTAAGTGAGAGCTACACTGAGATGGTGGTGTAAAAAGTAGCCTTCAATGTTTCCCTCTTGTAGAGGAGTGGAAAGTAAAATACACTAAAGCACAACTATCTGAAACTGTCTTTGAACACAGTAATGTTGACTAGCCTACTGCGAGAGACAGGAGCCCTCCAGGTGTGATCAGCTAGATATCATTACGGTGTCCAGGGGTTTCTGGCTCCTACCTGGCTGTTGCTCCTCTTCTTCAGGGTGCCTGCTCGGCTGTCGCTCCGTGTCAGGCGCCTGGATGAGCTGTCGGTCTGATAAGGAGACAAAACCACACCTCAGACAGAGCACAACACAAGCAGCTAGCTAATACTGGGGAAGTGAACTGAAGCTACAGATAAAAACACGCCCGACTGTTCATTTCAGACGCTGTTAAGTCTTATTAATATGGCTGAGACTGGCTACACTTCATAACGTTACTTGTTTAAAGACTCACATCCTGAGAGATGACAAACCGTTAGCTGTAGCTTAGCTCTGAACAAACAGTGATTTCTGACCTCTTTTATAATGCTGCGGAGAGACTCATCCTCGCTCATTCCCCGAGATAACGTCCACTTCTTTGGCGAGCCGCTGCTGTCTAGAGTGACTGAATGCATGTTTTTTGTGTGTTTTATAATAAGTTTTCGATTATGTAAGAGACACCTCCGAGCTCTCTGGGAGAAGTGGTGTTTGGTGTTTGTGTCCTACGCAGCAGCGCTGAGTGAACTGCCGACGCCCAGGCCGTGATCTACGGAAAGCCACGGGGACCAAACTGTCTTTCACACCGCCCTCATTCCGCCCACACTCTCAGAGAAGTCAAAGGTCAGGCTTTCACAGGAGAGAGAACGGGCTTTTTTAACTGTGGAGGGCTAATAATAAACCAGTTCTTGTTGTTTAAGTCCTAAGTGCTGAAACTCGTCGACAACAAGGCTTGCCAAGTGTTTCCAGGTGAGCTTGATGGTTCATGTATATTTTGTGGACACATGAAGTGAATGAGGGAAGTTATAGCAAAGTGGGTAGCCTACAAAAAAATATATATATACACTTACAGCATTTCACGTAAGAAAGTTGGACAGCCCTGCACAGTTTAACCCTGCAAAACTTAGATTTGTTTGTCAAAATCCCAAAGATACTAAAGGCTGAATTAGGGGGAAATGCCTTAAAATCCAATATTTCTAACGTTTCCTACTGTATGTAATGATGAAAACTTACATAAACAGAATAAAACTGTGGGAAAGCACAGAGCTATATTGTATTTCCAACAATATATGTATCATAAAGAAATAGCTCAACCTTTTGGGACAACATATTTGCAGCACCATGTTATATTTTGTTTGTTTAATTTGGACAAAAAACAAAGTGTGTCACACCTTTGGTGTGAGAGACCTGGGTTCATTCCCCTCTGTGACACATCCACTAATGTGTCCCTGATTAAAAGGCACTTAACCCCTAGTTGCTCCAGACATATATAGCAATTGTAAGTCACCTTGGATAGAAGCGTCAGCCAAATGAATACATTTATTGTAAATGTAATGTAAAACTGGAATAAAGCTACAAGGAATGGAAAGAAAGGAAATGTGAGGAAACAGCAGCAACAGTGTTTCCCAAACATTAATGTTTGGGTAGCTCCATATATCGGAATCAGCTTTATTTGCCAGGTAGGTGTACACATACGAGGAATTTGGTTCTGGATCGTACATTGCTCACAATGTGGTCGGTCATACATGAATAAAATCAGACACGCCTACAGTATACAGAACACATAGACACTACAAACAAAAACAATATAGACAGATTGAGACAATAGTGCAATGAGTGCAAAGGATGCAGGAGTAAATTATTATCATTATTATTATTATGTACATGTGATATATATACATATACACATACATGCATACATGTACACAGTGTGTTGGAGCATGGTAAAGGATGCTGGAATAAATAATGTGCAGGTGTTATGTATTTAAGGTAGGTGGATATGATACAGTATATACAATATACCAGTATGAACAGGAATGAAATACAGAATGACAAATCAATCATAAGTAGTAACCAGTAAACAGGTTGCTGATTAGAGACAGAGTTACTGGATTGTTGCAAAGGAATTGTTCCTGACACCATGAGTTAGAAGTCAGCTGTTCATCAGAGTGATGGCTTGTGGGAAGAAACTGTTCCCGTGTCTGCGTACAGTGCTCTGTAGCGCCTACCAGAGGGGAGAAGCTAAAGGACTCTTTAGTATCTATTTGAATTATTTCCTTTTTTTTACAATGATGTACCACAGTGACCACAATCAGGAGTGACAGATGCAGCACACATGAAAACTGATGACTGAAACACCAGCTGCAACTCTGTGTTCCTCCAGCAGAGGACATTAGTGGGTCAGTGATGCCTCGCTGAGAGAAGGTAACTCAGTGAAGTATTATTTGTACATGTAGAAGAAGTCTGTTCCAGAAATATCACAACTTTTATTTAGCACATATATACAGACATGAATAGAGTATCTTGTCTGTGGTGTGTTGTTGGGCTACATTTTGATCAGATCCATTGACATTTTGACTTATAGATCAAATGTGACACAGAAGATTCTACAATCCATTGTCAAGACTATTTAAAAACATGCGACATTTTCATAAGGCTTACACCAACTGATTAGTACAAATGAAAGTATATATCCTATATGCATTATAAAGTCTATAGAGAGCAGACCTGCTGCCACTGCATTACTGCAATCAATCTATTAATACAGGCTATAAAGGTAACCCTATGTTTTATTATTACCATTTATTACATACCATTTTTAAAACCACATATTTGCATTTCAGAGCCCTTGATTTTACTTTACTGGTTCACACAGATACTTTGACGCTCAGTTTGGGGAGCTCTGCATCGGACAAGCTCGTGCAATTCCTAAATATTAGCATAGGACATATCTACATGAAGATTAATCATCAGTGGGTTTCTTGTTCAAATGCACCATAGATATGTAGATGTGTGCGATTTAGAAGATGATGTGGAATAGTCATGGGGGAATCCATGAAGCGCTTTTTAATTTTATTTTTTAAATTTCTTTTTACAATTTACACCATAATAAACCATTTACAACAATAGGCGCAGTGAGCCATAGTTTATGTCATCATCATAGAAACCTAATTGGGCTATATCTCTAATGTGAGACATTGTTTGTGCACTGTAAAAAACATTTATACTCTCATAACAGTGCGCGCACCCTCCCTTCGCTCTGTCCCTCTTGACTTGGTGACAGACCTAAAAGCCTTTTGTTACAATCTTAGCCAATGGAGACGGATTACGACACTGGGCAGCTGAGATATATAAAGAGCCCCTTTTTGACCGCACTTGCACATTTTTCAGTGACACTTCTGAACACTCACACACCTCCATGGACTAAATTGTATAGAAGACCCCAAAACAACCATTGTACTACATATGAGCGGACTATGCATTCATCAGACAGATAATTTGTTCACTTTAAATCAAAACGGATCGCGCCGAGACACACTGGAACGTACTTTTTTGAAAATTTATTGCAAAATCTCCTGCTGCAAAAAAGCAACTTCGGCGTGATCGTTTTGGATTAGATGCATGTCACTGATCCCCTGCCTTTTGTAGGATAAGGCAAGGAGCGGCGCACAACCGAGGGATAACGGGATAAAGCGAGTGAAAAGACAAGAGAAAGAAAGAAAAAGTTGCATTGCCTGGTGTTCACGCATCGTCATGCCGAGGTACAACTTCTTACTGTGCTTGATGGTGCTCATCTCCCTGGGACAGTCGGGGAGCGATGAGCCCAATCTGCTCCTGCCTTCTGCCAGCGAGACGCCCACGGATGCCGGGCTGTCCATGCTGGACGAGGACGCCGGTTCCCACGAGTGCTCCGCCTGTGTTTGGAGGGAGCAGAGCAAAGTGCTAAGACTGGAGACCATCAAGTCCCAGATCCTTAGCAAGCTGCGCCTGAAGCAGGCGCCCAACATCAGCCGGGAGGTGGTCAATCAGCTGCTGCCCAAGGCTCCTCCGCTCCAGCAGCTGCTGGACCATCACGACTTCCAGGGAGACGCGTCGTCCCAGGATGAGTTTATGGAGGAGGATGAGTACCACGCCACCACGGAGTCCGTGATCACCATGGCCTCTGAGCGTGAGTAATAGTTTACAACCCAACAATATTGTCTCCAAATGCGTCATGCGCGTAATTGCGGAGCACATAGGTTCAAGTGACTCCGGCCTGCTGCGTGGACAGTGGAGCCGCTGGGGCTCATTCAAGTCAGTGACCTAACCTACTTTTTGAGATTCAGATTAGGGGTCCACTCTGTGTGTCTGAAGCGGGCTGATAAAATTAGACAGATGACTCTGGTCAGCTGTTGGCCACGGCTGTCAAAATAGTCGAGGGATTACGCGTGAACCTGATAAATCAATAATCAGCAACATAAAGGGCCACTCTGAGTCAGACAGCTCCAATATGGCCTGATGAACTTTTGTTTTCACGGGGATGATGATGATTATGGTGATGATGATGGAGGACTATGTCCTTTTGGAGCCGTGTCTAATATTTAGCTGCTGGACTCCTCGGTCCACCTGCTGTCATGTTCAAACTCCCTCTTTCAGATGATTTTTTTGTGTGTGTTTGACAGGGAGTAAACGCATGACAGACCCGTTTGAATGTCAAGTGCATTATTAATGATAATGCAGCATTTGGCTGGCAGTTGCATCACTTAATCCTTTATGCCTTCTTTTGCATAAAGGCCCTAAAATCTGGAGTTATGATCACGTCGTGAGGCCCCTCTGATTATTGCCACAATTTGCTCGCCCTCTTATAGTTTCCCATAAATCCACAGATAAGCCACAGGCAGGCCCCTTTTATAAAACAGACATTTTATAAAATTACTGTTGAACCCTAGCAGCTGTGCTCTATCAGTCTTTTATAGGAGGCTCTACCGGTTTCCCTGCTGTTCATCGCAGTGAGAAAAAGTGTGTCCAAAAAGCTGCTATTGTTCCCCTCATGCGGCGGCCCCCCTCGGCCGCACTTGCCTTTTAAATGCGAAGTTTATGGGCGCAGCTCGTTTTTTTTCACCACGAGTACACAAAGACAGAGAATCACTTAGGGTCGAGGGGAGTGTGTGACCTTTTCCTGGCAAATCGCGGGGTTCAACAACATTTACACACGTAATATATTCTGCACAAGGCAGATAAAACACACTCCAAATAATCAGTTTTTTTTACTCCATGAGTGAACAAAGATACCCTATGTGCAGGAGACTTATGTGCTCCTTGACATCCATTTATCTTTCTTTCTATCTATCTATCTATCTATCTATCTATCTATCTATCGATTTTTATGTTAAAAGAGCCTCACTTTCTTTTTTCTTTTTCTTTCACTTTCTTCTTTTCTGTCATCAGTTGTTTGATGTATATTTTAATATCTTGTAGTTTAATAACACTTCTTCACCTGCCAGCCCCACCTGTCTCTGTTATAGCAAATCAACATTCACTTGACATGTTGTTGTAACTGCAGGCTCCTCGAATGTCATCTGAATTTGACTTCCATCTTTCCTATTCCACCACTCTTTATGGTAGCTTTTAACATTTTATTTAAAAAAAAAAAAACTCTGTGAACCTTGCTTATTTAAGAATGGTTTCCTCTGGGAATTATTTTTGCTCTGGACTGACGCAAGTGATGTATTTTATCTTACAGGTGAATTAAGGAGGCATCAAAAACATTTGCTTTGTCATTTGTCAGCCGTTTGCTTTACGTGGAAGCTATTTTTAGGACATTTCCACAAAATAATCAGTATGTTAGTGCTTCAAGTTAGATCTGTCTAGGTATCTCTCTCTCTGTTTCTATTTTTATTACTTGCTCACAAACACACATCAAGGATGTATATGACACATACTGACAATAAAGATTTTGTATAATAAGTATAGCTGTTATCTCTGATTTGCAGATCAATCCAAATTAGATTTTTCCCTCTCCACCTGTAAATACAGACAAGATGAAACTCTGTATGTTTAATACACATCAGCACATTACAAGGGAAATGAACAAAATGTATTTTGGTTCCCATCCTTTTCATGGAAACACTCAGTCGGGAGGTTTGCCCATCACTTCAGATTTCATTACATTATATATTCATTTCCGTACTTACCCTAAGTCTTAACCCTAAAAACTGATGGTGTATGTTATGTGGACTTGCGTTTTATTCCTAAAAGGAAGATGAGTCCCCACAATGTGAATGTGTAAATAGGTTTATGTCCCCACAACATGAGTAATACATGCTCACTCTCTCTCTCTCTCTCTCTTACACACACACACACACACACACACACACTTACACACCATGCAAAGTGATTTGATACCTTCTTGAGCCAGAAAAGGGCATTATGCATGACACTGGCTAATTGCGTATTTCTAACAGGCTCATGCCAGCCAGAGGAGCTAATGACTGACATTACCGCTGTATCTGTCATGTTACAGCACTTCCTCTCTGTTCTGTTCTGTTTGCCTCATCTCTTCATGTCAGCTGCAGTTTTTATCATCTGCTCCTTCTCTCCCCCCTACGCCTCCATCCACCCCCACCTTCCTCCCCGTTAGCCCCCTCTCTCCTTCCTCGCCTTTTCTCCGGTACTCATGGAAGAGTTGAGAGAATGAGTGCATCTCTTTTGCCTGTGGCGCCTTAGTGATCCCACAGGATTAAAAGTGCCTTTTTCTGTCTCTGTGATAGAAGGAGGACTTCAAACGCAATTCCCTGCGCACCTCGAACCCAATCACCCTTTCACGGTCGTGCACACTGCCTTTGATGGGCCATGTGGGTTCAAACAGTACATACTGAACTGGACATGTGCCAGAGTTGCTTCTTAGTATTCACTCAAGGTACGTGGGTGCTGCAGTGGGGGTTGAGAGGGTCCATGCTTCCTGGTCTCTAATTACTATGAAATTTCATGGAAAAGTACAGCTATTTATATCATAGTGCGGCACTGAAACATCTCCCTCCATACAGCGAGTTGTGTAGGTAACTGCTCGCTCTGCTCGCTATTCATGCATGAAAAATGACTCAGTTTGGAGTTTATTAAGGGTCATTTTCTAGTGCAGTGTTGCGAATGAGTGTTTCTTATGAACAAATCTATTTGCATTAAGAGCTGAACTGCTTGATTTGGTATATTGATTGATTTATGTGTGAAATTGTGCATGAGCATGCATCCAAAGTATGTATTCTGGAGCTCAGTTTGTTTTGCCTGAGGTGGGGTGAGGATTTGACCCTACTAGGCTCCCATTTGTCACCTGTCCCGAGACATTAAGACCAGATCTTGCTCTGCCATCACTGACCGTCTCCTCCCTTCTTTCTCTCTGTCTCTCTGTGGATGTTTCGATGTTGATTAACCATGCACTATTCAAATGTTTGATTAAATACTTCTGCAGCATTAAATACTGAAAACCAAATTATACCGCCAGAGAACGTCAGGAAAAAGATTTGAAGAGAAGAGGCGTCTCTGTGGACTAAGAATACTGGCTAGATCAACTACTGTTGCACAAGAACTTAGTATATAGGCTGTTTGAGAAAAGCGTATTGTATTCTTGATCGTCTTTGCCCTTGAGTAAATTTGTTTTCTGAGCTTTGACATTTAGAGAGATTTTGAGTAATTTGAAAATTGTCCCGGAACAGAGAATCCAGCAGAGAGCAGCACTCGCTTACCCTCCCTCTGAGCCTTTATTACATGTTTAAATTTTATTACAGCGAACAGACATTGCCGGTTGTCCAAAACATAGGAAATCACTGGCTTTCTACAAGGGAAAATGTCACCTTTAAAGGAGTGAAAACTGATGTTTAGATCACATTTGAAACATTTCTAATGAACATTCAAATATTCTCATTACTTCTCACTTTTTATTTTATACCCACATTTTATGAGTGTCCATCATGAGTGTGTGTAGGCTAACATTAGAAAATGCTGTACTGGAATTGTTATGTAATCCTGTTAAGATGAGGCACATCCAGTTCAAGCACAGGCCTACACAACTCTTGAACATCCACACACATGTATACAAATCTATACAAATTTCCACATGTGCATACTTGTGTAGACACACGAGGATGCTCTCTCTCACACACACACACACACACACACACACACACACACACACACACACACTCACACAGTCACACACACTCCAGAGAAAAGTTCTCCTGTTGACAAAAAGGGTCACAGAGTTCACAGCTATGTGATATATTGGAAGAGGAGACTATTAACCTCATCGGGTCTCTTTCTTTGGCAGCAAAGACGAACCGGTAGTAACTTGAACACTTATCCCCCAGCGCACACACACACACACACACACACACAAAAAACAAGTCTTTTATAGTGTTGACCCTATAAAAGGGTCATTTCCTGAAGGTGCAGGAACCATAAAAATTAAGAGGGAGAGCGCTAAAAGGACAGAGCTGCAGAAGCCGGAGCGTCTTCAACTCACTGGCCAGTGTTTGCTGGAAGTTGATGACTATGTGAGGTTTTTATAGATTTATTTATTCCATGGAGGTCTCAGTTTGACTATGACACCTGTTCTCCCTGTGTAGTTGCTGTCATCACTTCAGAGAAAGATAAACTTTGGAGTTGAATTGTTTGGACACCGGGGGGTATGGACACTTTGTTTAAAAAGAGGTAAAAACTGAAGAAAGAAAGGTCTGTAGGACTGTAGAAATTGCACAACATACCGTCAACTTTATGGCTAATAAAATTTCAAAGGGACCAAAGTCTATTAATACAGAGACAATATTTCCCCAGGACCTCAGGAATCTCACTCCTTCCCCTATTCCCACGCTCCCATGTACCAGTCCCTGCAGCCGGCCTTTTCTCTTAGCATTTGGAAATATGTTTCTTTGGAATTTAATGCCTGCATTACCAAAAATACAACACAGAAGTTAGGAGAATGGATGTAATACTGCATTAATGCCAGTTTGGCAGCATGGCTGCGCAAGAATATATTTGTTTCCTTATTAAGAAAAAAAGACGATTTCACTGCTTGTGATCACCTTGTGAGCTCCTCGTTGCTTCTTTAAAGGATTTCAAAGAGTGTGATCGAGTGAGGTGCACCGTGGCTCATGCTGAGGGTATGAAGGGGGAAGGAGGGTGGCGGGGTGGAGGGAA